TACAAACTCCACAATTCCATGCATACAGTAGCAGCCTTTGGTGCTCCCTCAATCTTCTCACATGGCAGCTAAAGCCCCAATTGGAGGAATGCCCTGAGGGTTGCTAAACACATTATCCGGATCACACTGTTGTTTCACTCTCACCAATCTATCATAGTTACCAAGGAAGTATTTCTCACCCCAAGCTCTTGCTTCTTGTACCAACCCATCTGTTGAGTTCATATCCATGGTCCCTAGATCAAGGTCCACATAGTTCACATAAGCAGCCCTTGGTGCTTGAGACACAAATGGAGTCATGTATTGATAAAACCCTCTCAACCAATGTATATACCCATCAGCCTTTGAGTTATCCTCCTTATTCCAAGCTACCAAATACTGAATTGCATAAAGGGTGTTTGCCCTATGAGGGAATGGGATTGAATCCCATGGAATCCTGGCCATTTTTCCTCCATAAGGGTCTAAAATGACATAGCCCTTTGGCTCTTCCTCTAGTATTCTCAAAACCTTTTCTAAACCAATTTTAGGTATGGGGGTTCTCACATAGTCGGATTTTGCCTTGAAATAGTTTTTATCATGCAAAAACCTGTCTTTTAAATTTTCAAATGTGCTCCCCTCTTTAAGACCCGAAAAAAAGACTATTGACTCAATCCAACTCATTTCAAGGCACTCGTCGTACTCTATCTCTAGCTCAGGGAAAACCCCATTTATCAGATATAGGGCATAGGTCACATTCCCTAGGTACATGCCCTTAAAAGTGGCACTAATCCCTTCCTTTCTTGCTTGGGGTAACCCTGCCCCTACAAAAACTGATAAATAAAAGTCGTCCTCCAACTTGGGGCCTACATATTGCCATTTGTGCACCAACTCCAACACACTCTCCCTGCTTTTCTCTCTTGAAACTGTGAAAACAGTCACAACTTTTGGCACCTCGAGCAACCTTATTTTCCATGCATAAACCAGTCCCCAATTTCCACCTCCACCCCCACGTAAAGCCCAAAACATGTCTTCTCCCATGGCCTCTCTCTCCATAACCTCACCTCCAGAGTTTATAACAAGAGTATCTAACACATTATCAGCTGCTAAGCCATATTTCCTAGAGAGAAACCCAAACCCACCACCACTAATGTGTCCCCCACTCCCTACAGTTGGGCATGACCCTGCCGAGAACCCGAAATCACTCGTGGCTCGAGCGATCGAGTAGTAGGTCTCGCCAAGTGTTGCACCCGCTTCGACCCAAGCAGTTTGTGTTTCTAAGTCGACATGGATATTGTTTAGGTTCATGAGGTCTATTATGATAAAGGATCTATCACCTGTTGATGATAAACCCTCGTAGCTATGACCACCGCACCTTATTCGAATCTCATGAGATGTTTCCTTCGAGCATAGAATTGTTGAAGAGAGTTGAGCATGGGTCTCTGGTAAAATCACCATTACTGGCTTTTCCATGGTAGGTTTTGTGAACCTAAGGTTTTGGATGGAGAAAGAGAGAAAGTGGTTGTAAGCGGCATCGGACGATTGCGATCGAGAGGTGAAGTTGAGGACGCCATTGGATAGAAGGCAAGATTGCAAGTCTTCTCCTAGGGCAAAGCCCAAGAGAGATATGAGGGTGTAGAGAGAGAAAATCTTTGGAGAAGACATTGCCTTGTTAGGGTGAAGTGAGGCTGGTCACCATGGCAGTGTGGTTTTAAGAGAGAAAGAAGAAGGGGACAGTGTGGACAAAGAGAACGAAAATAGTGGACAAAGAGGAGGAAGGGGCCCCATGTATGGAACACTAGAAGGCCGGCCTATTGTATTGTTGTATTCCTCACCTTTAAATATTTGCGGTTTGGAGACGCATAAGAATCATGGTTAGCCTGCATATGTATCCAAATAGAAGGGGACGAGACCTGAGGCTATCAATTGCGGTTAAGCTCAAAGTTCTCACTATTAATAAAATCACATGGACCTTGAGACATTTTATTTTATATATATATATATAACAAATGTTTCGTGCGGACTGGACCGTATTTCTACAATATGCGATTCAGATCTATAAAGCATCCATCTTAAAAATTATGCAAATAGGTGGTCAATCTAAAAAGGGAAAAGTTTATATAAAGCCGAGGCTCTAAACAATCAAATTTGAGCCTACCTCACAAATTTTAATAGAAGAAGTTGTTTTGATGCCCAAATATCCTCAAATTGATCATCTCGACATCAAGATGCATAGACATGAAAACAAAATTGGATTTCAAGTTTTGAAAATAGTGTATTTTATAACACATTTTGGACCGTCAAGCTTCAAGATTTTCAAGTTTTCATAGATCTATTTATCTACACT